TATATATATATATATATATATATATATATATATATATATATATATATATATATTATATATATATATATGTGTGTGTGTGTGTGTGTGTGTGTGTGTGTGTGTATAGAATGTTCCTGTACACTTTTTCCTTGCTTTTATCTTGTTCATCGCTCGACACCAACAATCCTACCTCTAATTGCTGTTGGCCAGTTGAGAAGTATACTTCTCAATCGTGATCAAATCTCGAATCCCATTTCATCGTGCATCATAGTTCACGCAAGTTTCTCCCAACACTCTCACTTCCGCCTGTCCTCTGCTTACTACGATTTAGGCCAGGAGAAAATACTACAACGGTACCGTATTCCATAGAGTTATCAGAGACTTTATGATACAGGGCGGCGATCCCACTGCCACGGGCCGGGGCGGCGAGTCGATATACGGGTATGTGCTCGTGCAAAGTACAAATGCATGCCGTGTCTTACCCACTCCCTGTGATAGTATGCGCGTGGTCCATGCTTATATATACATTGTCCTTAAATAGCATGTGCGTGCTTCATGCGTTTATATGTATTGTTTGGCGTTTACTATATGCTTCGGGTACAGTGTTCGTTCATAAGTGGGGTATGCATGTGTGCGTTGTGCGGGCTTGCTATCGCATGCCACTTACGCGGCGAAATTATACGCTGCTTGCTTTGCATAGGGTAGCGGTTGTGTGTATAGAGTCAGTGCAACCCGAACTGGCGGATCCATCAGCCTGTGTGTTTCATACCAATGATCGTTGCTGGGATGTTTTCCTGTATATATGAGATTACATGAGTTCCTCGCCTCGTTATCATCGGAGTGGGATATGCATCATCGGGTGTGCGTTCCAACAATCTTCCGTAGTACCCAGAACGCTTGTCACTTACACTGTAGCTATATCGCTGTGCGGCGTTCGTAGTTGCACCCGTCCGATACAACCTCGTAGGTGTACCGATAGTCTTCAACTACTGACGACTATTCTGTTCATATTTAGAGTGTCCTTTGCTAACCCTACATTTCCAGTTGTACTCCGCTCGAGCTGATGCCGTTAGTAGGTCACGGACGCGTTCGCATCTCAAACACATCTCAAACACGGCTCAGCATACAACCCCGCGAACACATTGACGGCTTTATGCCGTCGCATTTTAGAATCTTCATTCGTAGTTGGTGCGTTCGTACTAGCGTCTGGTGGGTGGTGATTGTCTGTAGCACGTCCAATGCATGTGCTTCTGTTCGTTTAAGTACCTGATGGTCAATGTATATGTTCTGTGCGTGCCGTTCACTTCTCTGTATCATTCCACCCCACTCGACACTCAGCCGCAAATTCGAAGACGAGATAACTCGAGAGCTGAAACACACCGGCGCTGGTATTCTGTCCATGGCCAACTCCGGACCGAACACCAATGGAAGTCAATTCTTTATCACTTTAGCACCCTCAGCACATCTCGATGGTAGGTTGTTTACTACTGGCCAGAGTGCGGATAGGTCTATAGACCAGATCATATTGCGACGTGTTTGCGCGTGTTTATTTATACCATATATATATCCCCCTTGTATACGCGTATATGTGTATGTGTCTACATGTGTAAAAATAGTGCGAGTTCAGGGTCATCTTTCTGTACATAGTAGTAGCACAAATATAGCGAAGCATCTTTCCATAACTCACCCAAAAAAAAATTATGCATATGTGTTTAAAGACGCATGTGTACATTTTCGTATCTTGTCGTTGAATAAGTAATGAGTGATATTCTCGTCGGCTGGTGTGTGTGGTTTCACATGTGTAGTCAGAAGTTTGCTTCGTTGCACACTGTTATCTTGAATTGTAAGTCGGTACGTCAAAATGGGTGCGTGCATCGCTTTCAAGCAATTTCATACATCATACAGTAACTCTTGTGAAGCATCACTGCTCCTATCTGTCCTCCCACTTTACCTTTCTTTCACATTGTTCTCGTAGGCATTTCCATACGGCCTATTAGTATTTAAACACTCCCAAATGAAAAGTACTGTACTATTTTATACTACGCACGTGCGAGTTCTTTTATTCTCTGGTGGGCGATTTGTATTTGTTGGGATGCAGGACTCTAAGTCCATAAGCCCTATCAGTGTGATACTGCACCCTTTGCAGTTCGTGAATGATGTGTGTGCTAGCACATAGCAAGAACCTTATTGTACGTTTGCGTAGCTATTTTTGTCTGGTTGTGTTCGGCACGATTAACTTTGGAATTCTTGCAAGTATTGCTACGGGCTCTGACGCACCCACTGCATATACTATCTAAAAATTGCCAATAGATGCTTGCAGTATGTGCCCTCACCATCACCATCACCATCATAATTCGTCATCATTTATATGTGGCAAAAATTGAATGTGTTACAAGAGTGGATATTCTTTCTTTTAGGTACATATTCGCTTTGAGGTGTATATGAGAGTGCGAATTAAGGTGGCACACACTATATGGAATATAGGACACAAAGTTGAACGCACTCGATAGAAGTATCTCATTTTCACGCCGATTACATCCAAGTTTTCTCGAATGTAATTAGTTCAGCACTTCTTGAATGCCACTGTTCGTAATCTTCGATAACGCCCTCCTCCGCGCATCCTGAGCATGTTGTTCATAATATCAATTGATGTTCTGTAGTTGAAATAGGCCGCCTGGAAGTAACATGTGCTTAATTTTATGGTCGGCCTGCGAAATTGTTACACTCATAAACTACCCCACCAACTCGTGAACGATTTCGACCCTTCACAGGTAAACACACTGTTTTCGGAAGGATAAAGTCGGGTTTGGAGATAATAGATCGCATTGGACAAGTGGACACGGACTCTAAAGATCGGTGAGTGCGTCACCTCGCTCTTAACTTTCACTATCATTAGTTGTCTCCTTATATTCGTCAGATGCGCAGTTTGAACTTTATATGTTATATCTAGTCTTTTGCACGCGTATCCGAAAGTATCGAGGAGAAGAGCACCTCCCGTCAAGTCCACAAAATCTGTCTCAGCAAGTTGTAGTCGCACCCGTAGCCTCGCAAATTTGTGCTCGATTTCTCGACGAAGTACCGTTGTTCTCAACACTTGGGGTATGAGGAGGCAAATCGTAGTTACGTACGTATCAACTAGCACAAATGTGGAATTGTGGAATACGCTTGCCGCCGTCTCATCTGTGCTGTATGGAGAACTATATTTGAGGGCGATTGAAGCAACTACTCACGCTGTCATTTCAACTCTTTTACAGGCCGACACAGCCAATCACCATTAGATCAGGGACACCCTGCGACCCGAGCGATGACTGATAATTGATTAATAAATTTTCAAAATTGTGCATCCGATATCGCGTTTGAATGGTTTCAACCGGCTGGTCTGCTACTCACAGACTCTGACAAGAAGAGAGACAATAGCTTGTTGTGCGTCCTACCATCTCGTTGCTCGAATTCCTTGATACTTAGGTGTTGAGAAATGCAATTGCACCAAGGGGAATGTTCTAAGAGAGGCGGGTGCTTTTAGTTCAATAGGAAGGATGCTGTTCGCTTAGTTGTATTTTATCATAAGCCGACACATAACCTCCTGAAAAAAGAACAGACAATATTTAAATTTCTCGCCATCCTTTCGATGTTATAATATTTTGATATGCGACCTTCCAGGCTTTGGGGATCTACTGTGGGTCCTCTCCGTATTCGAATTTGGAATTAAGTTTTATATCTTTCAAATGTATTTATCAGCTCACTCAAATTAGATTTACAAATATATATATGAATACCTGTTTAATATACATTTGTTAGAACGCATACGCTTCAAGTTGTATCTCGTAAAGCATGTGTGAAAGAAAATATATAGACTAATTGTGCATGTATGTTTTTGGCTGAAGCCCTGTGGATTCTGTCTCGGAAGCCAGATTCACCGACTATTTAATACCCGTGAATAAAAGCGTTGTGGATGAACATGTGGACCTTCGACTAAACCTCGCAACTACTTGAATACCCATAAATATTCTGATATTGTGTTCGGCAAGAAGAAAGGAGGCTGTCACGCTCAGTGGCATAGTTTGAGTCTCACATGTCGCTAACAGTAACAACGACGGTAGTTAGGGCTGCTACGTGGAAGGCCATACTGCTGTTGATTGCACCCACAAAGACTATGTGCAGAAATAATGCTAGATTCTAATTAAAATGCTTTTATGTGACCATTGAAAATTTTCGTACCAGTCAGCTGTTATACGTTAGGCTCTATATGTAGCAGAAACAGCCAATGGATGTGTGAGAAGCGGAAGGGAATAGTAAAAAGGATTTGTTAGAGGTACCATATTCAAATTGTATATGCAGCATGGGATCTGCAAGCGATTTATGATAGCCTGACTTTGTCCCGCAATTTCGAAGAAGCAGGCCACCACTATTCTGAATAAGTAATATTATCCCTATCGATACGAAACGCAAATTCGAAGTAGCAGACCACCTGATGAAAATATCCGTTGACGGACCAACTGATTCCGCGGTGAATAATTCGGTTGATAGTATGAATAACCATACGTTTTGTCATCAACTTTCTACCTCCTGGCATGGTACAAAAAAATGTTTATAACCGCTGTTCCGGAAATATGTGTCTTTGTTGTATGGGTATTCAAAGTTCTACCTTGTTTGGACTGTCAAACACTAACGCTGAATGTATCTCACGCGCTGACCATTATGCAACATACTACGGCTAAAGTCCGTGAAAGGGCAGGCGTGCCCCAGCATGTTGCCAGGTTCTGAAAGCATAAGTCTTTCTTCTCTTGTCACTTCTTATTCTCAAGGCAACTATGTATATAAAGCGCCAGACACTTACATTGCTTATGAAATGAATACGAATGAAATTTGCATAGCAATTTATAGAGGGCATGCCTTCACGCCTCTGACCAACCTTTTTTTTTGTGTGTTAACTTGGTTTATGTGCGTGCACGCCTCATCTATCATACTGCGCGAGGTAAAAATGTGCGCATTAAATTGACGTATATGTTTTATGTATGCTACGCGTAAATGACTTTCCTCGAGGCGCTTTACCTTAGTGGTCGCCTCGGTATGGTCGCGTTAAGGGTGCAACTCCTTAGCAGAAGAACCCCTCTACTTGTAGTAAGGAGACGTAGTCTCTGAGAGGTGGCGCGACACGACACAATCGTAATAGAACTATATAACACATGGATTTTATCGTGACAAGGGGCAAATTTATATCTAGAGCCCGACAAGCGAACATTTTTTTTCAAATACAACGTAATGGCTTACTACTTTATCAACTGTCATCAAGCAATATATCTTCCATTGATACATACGCCTGATAACAATACACAATACAAAAATGATGTGTTTGATGATTTATAAAACTATTTACAACGAATCAATTTCTACCAATGACTTTTCGCGCAACATTTGGAGCATGGCAAGAATTCGCATAAAGCACTAATATATTCGCTCTCAGAAATAGCTGAGTAACATTTGAAGTTCAACACAATTCAATACGTCCACACTATGTTCAATTCATTAAGACGAACACTACCTAAAATATACCTTATTACAACGATCATCTGAACGACGAGATGATGGTGTATTCGCATTCCCTATTAATATTTACTCAACCAGCTGACGATGATTGAAATACCTGCGAGTGTAGAAAAAGATCACCATATCACCAGATTACGAAGCCGAGATCACGAAATTCCCAATTGAGATGGTATCTCAATTAATGCCCATTAGAGGTGCAAATCCGCAGCTGAAATGCTCCCCTAAGACAGTAGGGAAACAAGGTAGCTTCTGAGAGGAAATGAATTCAGACTAAATTGTGACGGATATATGACGGCTCGGGAAATAGCTTCGAAAAGCATATTGGAATCAACCTTGACTAAGCAGCAATTTTTTCAAACCAGATCCAATAATAAAGGATGTCATACGAACTGAACAAATATGATTTCGTAATGAGGAGGGACCTCTTGACTATTATGGCCCATATATTTGTACTCTCCCTGATGGTGTATCCGATGCATCACTATATGGTGAAGAAATGACTATATCTATAGCGAACGAGTTTTGATGGGAGCCCAGAAGGAATGCGATTTTGGGCATGGCCGATAATGAAACGATACATGCCAGATCATGACATCTATCTCAGAAAGAAAAAGACGCCCTACGATCAGCGACCCTGTGACGATGCCAAGGCCGTGTGACTTAGAAACTGCGATTAGTAAGCGCAAAATTTCAAACGAGGTGGATGCTCCGTGGGATATTGAGAAATGGTTTGAGAGACAGGTCAAACAACTGGCTCAGTTCTATCCAAATCCCAAGCAAACCCTATCGTTGACCACAACAGAGGCAATTTTTGAACACGCCATGGAACCGGGTGAACGTGTCACTTCATTGCAGAATTGGGCAGAGAAGAATCATGGGTTGATGAATTCTGTCCAAATCCCAAGCAAAACCTATCGTTGACCACAACAGAGGCAATTTTTGTACACGCCATGGAACCGGGTGAACGTGTCACTTCATTGCAGAATTGGGCAGAGAAGAATCATGGGTTGATGATCTGTGATTGAGAAATACAGGGATTCGATACTACCAACTTCAGTATTGTTGATACAGGCAGTGCTGAGCTGTCAAATCACGGTTGAGCAGAGGAATGAGCATAACAAGATCCTGGAGAGCGAAGGAAAATATGACCTGAGTACGACATTTTCTGAATGGATTCAACCCATGGTTCCTGTCATGAATGTTGCTGGATGGACATGGGAACAAAAGGAAACGTTCATAACAAACAGACTTCCGCTAGTTATGGCTGGATACAACTCTTTGGCGAATCCAAAGGATCTACCTGACTACATCAGTAAATTACAAACTCGTGCGTTAAGTATTCCGCGCTATTGAAAGAACATATTGGAAAAAAAACAACCCCCCCCCCTGCTATTGGGAATATCACGTCAGATTCAACTTTAATCAATAAGTACGAGTGCGCTATGCATGGCGCAAACAACTCGCACAACACGGATCCGTGTCGTGGGCTGTTGAAGAGGAAGCGTAACAGCCATAACAGGATCGAACGAACCCTGTATTGCATCGTTCATGGGAAGAACAAATCTCACGCCACAATGGAATGCAGGGCAAAAAAGGCAAAATATAACGAGACGGGAGGCGCTGCTAGAACTATGAATAATTCTCATTCTCAATCTGTTAGCACAATACATTCTGACGAATGCCTTAGATGCCTAGGTTCGCACAGAAGAATGCAATGCACTGAAGATAATATGATTGCCGAACTATTGACTCGTACCAAAAAGCGAGCACCAGCGGATCCTCGTCATACCTGTGCACGCTGTAATGGTAAGCACACACTGCTAAATAGCCCCACTACAAGCGAGATGATATATGTGTCCAAAAGAGTAATATTGGACAGGTCAGCTTAAATAACGTTCAGCGAAGCAATAAAAAAACTACCACTGAGCAGTCACGCGAAATTGTCGGATGGAAGAGCATAATCGGCTACTTGAAGGGAAATGAATATAAGTGATCAAAATCAACAGAAGGTGATTTTTCGACTGTTAAGCGAGGGGAAGGATGTACGCATACACACGTTAGGTGATTAAACTGCGAGCATGCTAAAGTATTTGGATGTAAGACTTGCTAGCTTTAGCCATACATGTCTGCTAGATGATAACGGACAGTTCTGCTATTTAATATCCACTGTGAAGCGAATTCAGAACCAACACCTAGAGAGCATCATCAGCATACATCCTGCAGAACCATTCATCAAAGGATTATGCTGCACCAATCCTCGCCATGCAAGATCACTCTTCGCATGAGAATACATGGCCACGCAATCTTAGAAACACAATCTTAGAAACATTTTCTGCACTGCATGGGATCCCGACGCCGAATTTCGCAATGCTCCTGGGAGTGCCATTTTATGATCAGTATGTTGTTAGCGAGGGTAGAATGTGTATCAAGTTGACGTTGCATGATGGATCGCAGCTAGACAATTACAGACCTGCACGTGACCCACTGCCTGGGCTTGGCCCCCCTGCTGGGCTGCCATCCCCTTCACCCCCATACACGCCTGCTCTGGTTACTGTTGGCATCTTGAGCTGACTGTGTGGGTGTGTATGTGTTGCAAGTTATTAGTAAATACTTGTGCTATATTGACTGGGAATGTGTGCTTCACTCCTTTGTCTTTGCTAGTAATTTGTATGAAAATGAAAATAGAAATTGATTTTATCTCACTTACTTTTGTAGAGGTCACACTTTGCTGCACTTCTGTGGGAAGTGTTTACCGTTCTGTGTTGTGCGGTAGCTTGTTATGTTCCTCCCTGTGATTGGGGAGAGGTAAATGGTGTTTGTTGGTTCAGCTTATTTCGTCACGTGTGACTTTACTTGTGCTTGTTTTGTCAAATGTGAAGGAAAAAATTATGTGATTTTAACTAGATGTCCGGTCCTGTTGATGTCACCTAAGATGTTCGGTCTTGTACCGAACTCTTGTGTTGGTGATGTCACCTGAGATGTTCGTCTCGTACCGAACTGTTTATGGTGATATCATCGAAGATGTTATTTGTGTGTCGAAATGATAATTGTTCTCTTAAGTTCCTTGAACTGCTTGTCTGCGTTCGACACTTTTGATGTTATGTGTGGGACTGATTGTTCCTGTGTGTTCTCGTCTTTACAGTAGTTCTGTTGTGTTACACGTTGTGTTCTTACTGATTGCTTATGATATTACTCATCCTTCGATACTCATCTTAATACTGTCTCATGTTTTTGTTTCATGTATGCAATCGGTTCGTAATACGACATGATTTTGTTCTGTGTACCGAGATGTTATATATATTCGCGTGTAACCGATACATACCTTCCCATTTTGTGCATTTTATTAGTTTGATGTCTTGCCTGTGTGTGAGTCACGCATCTCTAATGCCATGTCTCTCGTTGTGGTTTCTTGATCTGATTTCAATAGAAGTGTATGTTTCCTTGTGGGTATGTGCGCCCCTGATACATTTTACTTTTATTGTTGCTGGTTCTGATATCTCTATCTTGTCTTTGAACTTCCTTAACCATTTGTGATGCTGATTGCATTTGATTGTGGGATTTTTGTTCATCGATCAGTTTGGTGTCTTTGTGGAACCCAAGCTGTGACTGTATGTTTACTTCTTGTCTTTGCTCGTGGAGCCTCGATTGTGACTGTGTGTTTGCTTTTATTTGCTACTCTTATGTCCTAGTGGGCATGTTCAGATGTGATTTAGGCATGTTCAAATGTGATTTTAGACTTGTCTCTCTTGTGGCTTGTAACCATGAGAGCTATAGTATCAAGAGCTGACTTTCTATTGCACTTTGATGTCGCTGCTCTTGCAATCTTTACGTACTAGTGGTCCTAATGTTGATTTGCTTGCGGGCGTACTATTGTTGCGTCAGATCTTGGGTTTGTGTGTACACGTTCTGTTGTTTCTAATGATATGTTATAATCTCTTTGTAATTGAAATGTTATAATCTCTTTGTGATTTGATTGTGACTGGTGACATTTGTGAATGTTGTCTGTTTATCCTTGTTGTATTGCCAGCTTGTTAATCTCCTATGAGTTTGCTTAGTTTGTTTCTCTATTCTGATTTAGAATTTTACTAGCTCTCTTTGTGATGGTGATGATCGCGAATAAAGCCTTTGCATCAAGATTAGGAGCTGTGCGCCATAGTTATTGCTGTTATCAGGTTATTCCTGATTGCCTTGTGACTATACTAGTTGGTGACTCGTCTTGAACGCATTTGACCGTGGTTGGTATTGCCTCTCTATGCATCTGCTCTGTGAATAGATCTTTTCTCCTCTGTACATGTGCATGTTGGAGATCCCATTCTTGTACGCATTAGGGATTTGTGTGCCTTCGCTGATGTGTGATACTAACTAGTGAATTTGTCTTCCTAGCCACTAAGATTTGTTCCTGTACTTTGTTGCAAGTGCTATCTCGATTTGTGTGACCTTATGTGTGGGCTGTCTCATGTTGATGCTTAGGGTCCCTGACGTAAGTGTTTTTCTTGTCTGAAATTTCCCAACTGTATTGACTATTTAACCATCGTAATAATTTTACACCTGGATATTCACCCCAACATTCATATATGGTCTCTTACACCTCAACACTCAGATTCTCGTCCTTCCAGCCTACTCCTGGAACACGACATATTTACCTTGGTTCTTTCCTTCAAAGTCTCGTGGTGTGGGGAGCCTCTGCTGTATCTTCTCACTTCTGTCTTCTTGCAGCACAAAGTTTCTGCTCCTGGTTGGCTATTGGTCTTTCCTCTGAGTCAGTTCTTTCCTCCGCTTGCCTTCTCGGTTCTTTCTCTTCATAATAAAGTTTATATTAGCTATAGAGTTTTTGAAGACCGTAGTCAGTTGTGCGTCTTCTTCAGTATACTTCGATAATTGTTGACTTATCTAAGTAAGGATATTGTAAAAATGTAGAGTATGGAGAGTAGCTGAAAGGTACGAGTCAAATGATACTATAGATCTCTTCTCAAGTACGATTATCTCAGCTAAGAAAAGTCCTTACTCTGAGAGAACCGAACTTAGTCTTTATTTGTGTTTTCTATTTCACTAGACTCAAATTTCTACTTGAGTGTTTCTCTCACACGCGAGGTCCCGGTATAGCTTACCGGTTCTACCGCTGATATTTCTTATGACTAATACTAGGAATATTTGAATGCTAATTCCAAAACTCAATATTTGATGATTCTGAGGTTTAGGGATTTGTATTAGCTTTTTGGTATTCTGGTCCCTAGATGCTACAATGACCCTCAAAACGATGAACAACATCACAGTGCTACCGGCAAAACAGGTTGTCAATATACACGTGATCGGATGCCAAATTATTTCCCCCAATGCATCTAAGATCGTCAAAGTTAGGGCAGAAGAAGTCAAAAGAGCGCTACCACTAGCAGTTTTCACTCCAAACACGGATTCGGAACAAATGGTTGCAGCGTCATTGGTCGTGAGTGCGAGATACCAAAGCGAAGGCAAGGTTCGGTTACTGATAACGAACCTGACAAATAATCCAGTGGAGCCGTGTAACACCACCGTTGGTACCATGGATTTCGTTAATGAGAGAGATATTCGATGGAGATGCTATTCAACAATCAGTGGTGAACGCGCTGCACAACTCAAAACCATACTAACGACTAACGGAAGAAGAGAAAAGGGAGCTCATACCATTCAAATATAAACATCCTCCAAATCTGTCATCAGAATAACTTGAGATGGTGGAAAGACTGCTTATCAAACACACGAATTTATTTGATCATGGTGCAGATGATAACAAGTTCATGGATGTGGATCCAAACACACATAAAATTCAATCATGGAAATCCAATATACATAAAGCAATACCCCCTATTTAAGATCCAGCAAGATGTTGTGGAGGAGAGGGCCGCTGTTTTGTGTAAGAGGGGCATATTGCGATATTCAAACTC